TCTTCTTAATAACTCAAGTAGTCACAGAGATGTCTTCAAGAAGGTTGACAGTGTATATTACTTATATCTTATGAGTATTATACTGACTCAGATTAAGGCAGAATTTCTGTTCAAGAATATAGATAAAGCTGTGAAATTCAGATAAGATGTTTCTCTTATATCTCAGAGAATCTTCAATCTTAATCTCTCTATCTTCATGATAGATGTAGATGTGTAGAGACTGTGACAGTGATAGAGCAGTTGAAGAGCTCATGCTTCAATATGCAGTGAGTTCAGAAATCTCAGATTTCTGCTGAGATAGAGATATACACACTCTAGAGAATGATGTAGTATTTTCTTCAGAGAGTGAGATCAGATCAGTCTTAGTATAAATATATAAAATTATATTAATCTGTTAAAGCTTGACTGATTCAAACTTATAATCAGATTAAGTAATTCAAATTGTAATATAATGAAACTGAAGTAATAACTAGTTAATAATATTATATAGAGATAGTTGTTTAAGAAGCTATATAAATGAGCTTAACTATCTTGCTTGAATAGTGAGCTTGTAGACTACAGAGTTATTATGAGAATATTACAGATGTGATACTTAGTATACTAAGAAGATTATATAAGATATGCAGTAACTCTTGTATATATTTCAGTAGAAGAAAAACAAATCACTGACTTTTTTAATAAGAAGTCAGTATCTAGCTATTCTATATAGATAATGAGCAGATACTCTTCTCTCATTTCAGAAGTGAGAATAGCTGAAGTGATATCTCAGCAGTGTCTTATTATTAAGAAAGAGTAATTTGCTGATCTTGTATAGAAGTAAGGTTCTTATATTCATCAATCAGATCTTTCTATGATATATCTGAATGATGTCATAGAGTGATTGGAAACCAGTTCAGATGAAATGAAATCATCCGCATGAAAGTAATGAGCCGTGTAAAACCGCAACGGGGCCTTGGCGCGGCCGGGAGCGTGACAAATGAGATATTCTCTCAATCACATTCAGACTTCTACAAGTCTCAATATTTATTTTCAAATACTGTTTTCACAGTTATTAATAATACAGCTATATCAACAGTATTCATACTGACTTTAATAATTCATAGATCTCAACTGTCAAATTCACTGAATGACTGAACAGATATTGAAAAACACTCACATTATAAAGAATTTGAGAACACTATTAAGTAGAAATGAAATAGTATATCTCTGCAGAATACATATGAAATTACTAGCAGATTATAGAGAGATGTCTCAGTTATCTCTCTATAATAAGTATTTATCTATAAATTTAATAATGAAGATTTTCTTTTGAAATACAAAGCTTGTATCTGTGTACACAGAGATCTTTAATTAATTATAGATCTCACTATAAAAGCTTATACACTAGCTGTCAGAGATCTCTGAATCTTATTAGCTTTAATAGCAGCATTTGATCTAGATGTGAAATAATTAGAAGAAATTAATATCTTTATTAATAGTAATATTAATAAGCTAGTATATATGAAACTATCTGATAATTGATGAAAGTTGAAGAAGATGCAAAATTTGAAGTATATAAATTATGTACTAAAACTTCTATAAGTACTATATAAATTATACAGATCATTTCTTCTCTGATTAAATGAACTATCTTTAACATTGATAATATTAGACTTTATCTCTATATCAGAGAATTGATATCTCTTCTCTAATAATCAATTAATCATCTTCTTCTATATGAATGATATCATTATTCTATCACAATGAGAAGATTTGAATGAAAGAGATTAATTAATTAAAGATCTTAAAAACATCTATAAGATCTGATAGATGAGAGATTTGAAATGATTTCTCAATATATGAATAATATGCAATTGTCTCAACTTAAAGCTCTGACTATGTCAGAATGTCTATATTAATAAGATAGTTAATATATATCATCTCACACACATCTGTAAGATATATATCTTACTAACTAATACTTCATTAGAGTCTTTTAATGAGTCAGTCATATCTGTAAAAATTCATTATTATCAACAATGTATCAGCTTCTGCATCTACTCAGTAATAATAACTCACTCTGATATTACATATGCAGTGAATAAACTAGCTACATTCATGACAAATTCATTGAAATATTACTTATTAGAGATGAATAGAATGATATCTTATCTATATAATATAAAGAATCTCACTATTTAATATAATAATAACATTGACAGATCTCTATAACTTAATCTCAAATCTAATATTATTAAAGCTGTCAGTAATGTCTCTTTCGCAGATAATCTGAATCATTACTTTATATAAGAATATATCTTCAAACTATTCAGTGAGACTGTTGATTGAAAATCAAATAGATAGATAATTAAAACTATATCTATCATAGAAGCTGAGCTTATTATAATCTTATAAGCTTATAAGAAGTCTATCTGATAAGATAAATTCTTTCAATATATTTAATTTAAATCTGATCACAAGATCTGTATTTAATGTAATAACTGTCAAACTGTTAATATTCTTTATAAAGAAAGACTTCTCTATAATCACAAAGCTCTGCTATGTTAATATATATGAAAGCTAGCTCTGAGAATGCCCCGGTGGCCGAATGGTTAATGCGGCCACTCAGTAGCGCCTTGGCATGGGAAATCAAGGCGTGTGAGTTCGAAACCCGCAGGGGATACATTAAATCCAGAACTCAAGCACCTCAGGTTTCTAATAAATACAGAGGTGTATAAATCACTTCAATAAATCACTCTATGTTCCTGAGCTGAGAAGTTATTATCACATGTATTTAATTATCACTTCTTTGTATTTCCTATGTTCTTGTTATCTTGATATGATCTTAACACCTGTATTTCCTCCTGTATAATTAACACTTAGCCTGTATTTAACATCATGCAAGAACTCATCATAAGCTCCGCTTGCATATGAGTATAATGAAAGAATAATAATAATAATAATAATAATAGCTCTGAGAATGTGTTCAATCTGATAATATTACAGTTAATTAAGTGCCTACAGCTCAGATGCTAGTGAATGATCTCACTAAGACTTTATCATGTCAGAAATATACAGAATTTGTCAAGATACTAGACCTAGTTAATATATCAGATATCATTGAGATATAAGCAGAATAAATAATCTATTTTAATATAATCTCTATAGATTCATCTACACTCTTTTTATTACAGCTTTATTTATATATTTATCTTGACTGACCATGTGACCGTGTCTGAAATCAGGACCAGATTTTTTGATAGTCTCATTATCAATTCAACTGATCTTATTACACAGTTTTAACATTAGATAGTGATTTCATACTGTCTCAGTAAGACTTACTGTCTACTCTTGTCATATTTTTCAAATGAGATCATGATTTTCACTTCTTAATTTAAATTATTTTTATTGCTTTAAATGACTTTAAATCTCATTTGAGTGTTATCAAAAAGTGTTACTTTTTAAAAAATTAAAAATAGTCTAAAAAAAACCTTAAAATGTCTAAAAATAGTAACTTTATGTCAAGAATGAGATTAAATGAGATCAAATGAGATCACTTTCTCATTTTTTTCAAGTCATGATTTCATTTTAAGATCTGATATATAGTCACTTTACATGTTTTTTTGATAGCCAGTCTCAGCGGGATTCATGCCAAGAAATGTATGAAATCAGATTAAATGAGATTAAATATGAAATTTATAATCTCAGTGATCAGTCTACATTCATCTACACTCTTTTTATTACAGCTTCATTTACACTTTCTTTTACATGTTACATTTACTGAAGAAGGTGTATCAGAAAAAAGAGATTATATACTACTGAATATCATTAATATTGTATTACTATAATATTTCTTATTATTATCAGCTTACTACAATACTTATCTAATACTTACTTATACTAGCTCTCTTGACTTGTATATATATTTTACTATAAATAGCTTTATCTTTTGTATGAAATAGATATATTAGATAGTGTATGAATTAGACTGACTGTGTGACTGTGTCTGAGACCAGAATCAGAATTTTTGATAGTCTTATTATCAATTCAATAGATCTCATTACACAGTTCTAACATTAGATAGTAGTTTCATACTGTTTCAGTGAGACTTACTGTCTACTCTTATCACATTTTTCAAATAAGATTATAATTTTCACTTCTCAATTTAAATTATTTTTATTGCTTTAAATGACTTTAAATCTCATTTAAGCATTATCAAAAAAGTGTTACTTTTTAAAAAATTAAAAATAGTCTAAAGAAAACCTTAAAATGTCTAAAAATAGTAACTTTATACTAAGAATGAGACTAAATGAAATTAAATGAAATCACTTTCTCATTTTTTCAAGTCATGATTTCATTTTAAGATCTGATATATAGTCACTTTACATGTTTATTTAATGATTAGTCCCAGCGGGATTCACGCCAAGAAATGTATGAGATCAGACTAAATGAGATCAAATGTGAAATTCATAGTCTCAGCGGCCAGTCTAGTATGAATAATATAACAAGCAGATCTTGATACACATAAGATTCATATATATTCAACATATTCATCCGTGACACTCAATCCGACACTAGGAGAACACATAGAATCACATAGAATAACTGATGAATTTGACATTCACTAAAGCTACTTGATGATTATTTTAAAATGAAGTTAGCTAAGGGCTCTCAGAGAGCTTTAGCCATTGACTTACTTTAGTTATTGATGAAGAAGATACATTATTATTATTAACTAGTTGGGAAGGTACTTGATCAATTAAAAAGAGCTAAGTTCCTAGCGAAACGAAAACCATGTGCGTGGGTCGGGTCGTAGTTAGCGCTAGCGTAGAAATAGCTAAGTTAATAATGATAAAAATGAAAGTAGGTATCTTTTATATGAGAATCACATATAAAAGATACAAACATCATTTTCTTTAATATCTTTATCAACATCTTAGACATGAGCATGAAATTGAAATATGAAGATTAGAAATACTCAAATAATATAATGAATATAATAGTTTTTCATAAGAATATCTCATTTTCTCAAATCTGAAAAACAGACTAAAATTTTAGTACAAAATTTGAATTTTCATCTTCAATGTTTGTATCTTTTATATATGATTCTCATATAAAAAATACCTATTTTCATTTTTATTGTTATGCTGTTTTTATTGTTACGACAGAGTACTCCGTACTCCGTGTAGAGGATTAACATTTATCGAGATCATCTGACGTCATACGAAGCAATAGAGATTAGTAGAGCCAGATCTCAACATTGCTTGCGGGTTAATTGCTTTGGAGGTGTAGCAGGAGGTTCTGGATCTTCAGGAGGTGCAACTGGAGGTTCAAGAGCAGCAAGGAGGTCTATCTTGATAGAGAATAATAAAGAATAGCGCGTACGAGAATAATAAGAATGAAGACAATAAGAATCTTCTACGGAGTATTTGTATGGGGATGATTGAGAACGCGCCACCCCGGATTGATGGTTGGAATGCCACTAAAATATTAGGGTGGAACTACCGAAAATTGAAGGTCATACCAGCGTAGTAAACACTCTGTACTGTACCTGGGTGGCCCTCTCACTCCCACTCCTCAAGGACTCTTCGCAGATGAAAACTGTGACAGTTGGCCTGTCCGCTTCGTCTAGAGTTGATGTGAACATTCCCTGACTATTGGAATATCTTTCCGTAGTTTCTTTGCCTAGGCGTTGACTCTTCACGATGCATCTGCTGAATAAACAGAGTGGACGACGACCACGTTGCTGTAGGTAGTTGGAGATGGGTAACACTGTTGGAAACTAATTGGCATATTCCTCCATTGCTAGGGCATGACTTTGATATAGAGTAATAGGGAGACTTATTTAGCACGCCTTCGGATCCAAGGTGTCCAAAAATTTAAACGGCGATCTCAAGCATTATCTAGTTACCAGATGAACATCGATTAGCAGAGTTCTTCACGCCATAGCCCCCTTGAGCTTATTCCCTCCCCCAGTACCATAGACAGCAGATATATCCATATCCCATGTACATACACCGAGTGCTAATGGTTCTCCAGCGGTTCGCCAAGGACGTAGTGGCTTCTCCTTTGCGCAGAAGATGACATCTGGTTAAACTGGCCTTGCTAGCCACATTCCTTTCTTCCATGGAGATTGTTACCGTTCTTGATGGCGATCCGTAGACCTGTATGGCACACCGCAAGCTTGCAGAAGCATAACGCTGGTGATTGTCCACCATGTGGAGCCACATTGTCAGGGACTTCACGTGTTGTGGATAGTACAGTACAGTACATTACGTGGATAGATACGGTCTGAGGGGACTTGATATAAAATGCACCCTATGAAGCCACTTAATGAATCAATGTCTGTAAACAAATCGTTCTTACTTGGTCTGCTACGCAAATATTTCTTATGGATAACATACATACCTCACTATCCTTGACGCCTAACTGTAAGGTGTAGAAGAGGCTAGGCTCCAATAAGTGGTAGCCACCGCAGGCCACACGCTGTTAAAGCCGTTTATACCAGCCATAGGTGCGGATACTGAGCCTGTAGAATACTGAGCTTGTAGAATGACTCTATTTATATGGATCTCTGTATTGGACTCTGTGGTGTCGTTGATTTTAAGCTATGTGGAGGCCGACATGGATTGCACGAGCCTCACGATCCACATATGCGGCTCAACGCCGATCCCGCGCAAGGCATACTGCTTAACCATGCAAGTAGAAGTGATACTGGGAGGATTCTCTATCTTAAAGATCTACTCATGATGATCTTACGCTCATTTCGTATCCACATAGCCAGTTCCAGTTGTTTGGCGGAGGCCTGATTGCCCAGCCAACCATGCACCATGAACCGCGTAGAGAGTATTGCAAATTCATATCTATCTGGGGAGACAAATGCACTCGATTCAGTGAAGCACAAACATCACCCCTATATTTCGCCGTTGAGAGGAATGGCGGCAATTTGCGTTTTGAATCACAATATCAACAACCGATATACCACTGCAATTTCGCACCCTCTGGTCGATTAGGGGTTACTCCGCTGCATTCCGCGACGATATTGATACCTACGGGATCCCCGCGACGAGCTCATCAATGCTCGCATGTCTACAATATAATATACAATTAGCTTACACGGTTATACGGATATTTCAAAAATCCTCATACAACCTCCCGTATGGCCTATACCCATTTTTACCCATACAAATTGCGTCCTAAAAAGTGGGAGGCAGCTTCCACATCTCGCAACAGAAGGCAAAACAAACATGACCTACCCGATGCGGTAACCATGCCTGCCAAATGAAGGGGTAAGTTCACCCTGAGGGAAGCAACGACAGCGGATTTTCAGGCCAGAGCTCCTCCGATATCCTGGATCAATTGCCGTATTTGGCAGGTTATGAGCCCCCGGGTGCCTTCCCTCGCTATCCGTGGGAGATAAACATAAAAGCCGGCGTCCCGCTCCCATCTTTTTTCTTCCTCTTCTCTTTTCTCCTTTCTCTCCCCATCACGTCTGTGACTTTTTGCTGCCCCTATCTTCACTCACGTGATTGACCATTGCTCCGGGGCATCTCCATACCATACCTCTCTCTTTACCTTCAGACTGTTTAAGAGATATAACCTTCTTCCTTCTCCTCCTCCTCCTCCTCTCTCATATACTCCTTTGATTTTTGATTTTGTGTTTGCCTTTGCTTTTTCTTTTTTTGTCTGCTTCCTTTTTGCTGTTTTCCTGTTTCTTGACGCCCCTTCTTTCGTTGTGTAGTAGCCATGCCAGGCCTACACATTCCGGGCATCCCCACTCGGCCAAACGACAAGGCCGCTAGGAAGCGCAATGGGCCGGCCTTTACAACCTTCCCCCATCGCGTGGCCTACAAAGACGTAAGTATATCACACTCGTTTAGTGATTCTGTTGGTTCTTCGATACGTTCATCTGCTGTTGCTTCGTCGTCGTCTTCTTGCTCTTACTCTTCTTGCTCTTCTGCCTCTTCTTCTGTTGAGTTCGTTCCTCGTCCTGTGGTTGCCGTCCCTCGCTCTTCGGCAAGCACTTCCACCCGCTACGCTCCCCTTGTCGTCTCCCGTTCTCGTCCTCAAGCTGGTGAGGTTGCCCGCCCCTGTACCCCTATCCCTTCTCCACGGTTCTCCACTCGTTCGAAACTGCAGCCCCTATGTTCCTCTTGCTCTTCTCCGTCGATATCGACCACTTCTTCCCAGCCTTGCCCCTTCGTTATCCCCCGTACCCGTCCCAGGGCTGGCGATGCCCCAATTCCCTGTTCCCGTTATTCCGCTCGTTTCCCTTCCCCTACTCGCCCCTCTGGTCCTACTCCCTGGTCCAGAGACTCCACTCTCTCAAGACCACAATCCCTCTACAATTCCACTCGTTCCCCTCCCCCGGCCCGCCCTTCTGGTCCTATTCCCTGGTCCAGAGACTCCACTCTTTCAAGAACCCATTCCCTCCGCAATTCCACTCGTTCTCCCCCTCCAGCCCGCCCTATCCCTCCCTCTGCATATTCCACTCTTTCAAAACTCCAGCACCTTCAAATCCGCCCTCGCTATTCCCGGCCAACCTCTGCCACTTCCACCCGCTCATCACCAGCTCCCCCAACCCGCTCCGTTCCACCTTTTTCCGCTGGTTCCTCTTCTAGCACTTCCATTCGTTCTGATTCATTCCCTTCCACTCGTTGTTTTATTGCTGCTGCTCTCAAAGCAGTTACCATCCGCTCCTCACCAGCTACCACTGCCTCTCATGTTTCCACCTCTACCTCCGCTCGTTCATCTTCCACCACTTCCACTCGTTCTGCTTCACTCATTTCTTCTCCCCCTCCCCCTCCCCCTCCCCCTCCCGTTCGTTTTAACTGTGCAGGTGACCGTCTCGAGGCTGTCCGCGAAGTCATCCGCCGCCACCGCCGGGAGCACGCGCAACTGTGTGCTGACAGTTCGAGTGCTTCAAAAGCCGTTTCTTCCAGCCATGGATCTGACAATGGCAGTGCCCGTGCTCGCACCTCCTGTCGACGAAACGTTAAGCCGGCTAAATCAGTCCAGTTCGGAGGCGTCACGGTCCACGAAGTCAATACATGGATTAAGCCGGGTGTACATACCCAGCGAGACCCCACGACAATCGTCGGCAAATTGGTTGGCTGGTCTGTCACTCCCCTGGAGGAACCGGAGGACGACGAAGACTGTAAGTATACGACTTACTGGGGTGGACAAGTAAGTCAACTTACGCACGCTCATTTACCCGGAAAACCCTGCGGACGCTCTTTTTGCTCCTGGAACGACCTCGCCAACGTTCGGAGAGACCTTTGTAGGGTCGCTCGTCTGGAACCCGACAATCCTTACACGTCGATCCGGACTCGCCTTGTTTTCGAAGAGTTCAACAGAAGAAGAGAAAATATGAGAGGGCACGGACATTTCCTTCTGTGATTTGAAGTGCCCTTCTCACCAAAAAAATTTTAAAAACGAAAAATCATCCTAAAGTATCTCGGACGACAAGTCCACTTCCGTTTTCGCACATTCTTTTAGTGATCACACTTAATATGCATGTTCTGCTGTGTTCTGGCCTGTTTTGCGTTTTCAGTTTCGCTCTATTCGTCCTTCCTGTTTCGTTTGCTTTTTTTTTTTTTTTTTTTTTTTTTTTTTTCACTTCCCTTTGCTTCCCCCTACCTCTCCCCGTCATCTTTACTAACACGGTTTCCTAGGCGGGCGGGTTGGTGGAAGCCTAACGGTAGGTCGCTTTTGGAACTGCTGACTGGACAGGATAGTTAACGTACACGAATGGTGGCTACCGCTTGTGCACATTTTGGTATATCCTATCAACCCTATCGACTTCGGAATCTTCTGCTAACTTTCTCATCTGCAGGTCAGGTATACCGCGCCTCGATTGGCAGGATTTGTGGTAGCGCAGGATTTACCGCGACAACGTAAACCCACCCAAGCCCTTGCCCATAAATTTTCAGGAGCATCCTAACGGCTTTGTTCCAACGTGTTTATAGGTTAGGGTCGTTTTCTGTTCCCCCGCCGGTCGCCTCGAAAGATATCTGAATGGTGGCACCAGAGCTGCCGTATTCAGGTAAGTCGGCGCTCACTGTTCTCTTCTCCCTCTGTCTCTGCCATCATTGATTGCAAAGGCTGAACGTTAGTCACAGCTGTAGTGATAGATCTTCTTGAAACAGGTTTGCTTTCCCCGACCTATTGCCCACTTACTTTTGGGGTTTCTCTTAGGTAAAATATTCGGTAAGCATATATTATCCTTCCACCGGATTTTTAACGATTATTAACATGCTTGCAGACTCGATCCGCCTTTCAATCCACGCCGGATTGCATGCTTCTAGAGCTTATGGTGGCAACGTATCGGTCCCCGCAAGGTCAGAATTCCCCAACACAACTCGTAGTTTGGGCATGGAACTTATCATAACCAAAGGCGGCATGCAGAAATATACGCTTCGGAGCGTCAAGGGATATGGAAGATCATGGGATTATACGCTCCGGAGCGCAGTGGTGGCCCAGGAAAGCCCTTCGAACGGTCAGTCTTGTATAACCTGTTATGCTACAACGTCATCCTAACCATGTCTGTTGTAAAGGAATGGTAGACGACCAACGGGATTATACGCTTTGGAGCGTCGTGGTGGCTAAGGAGAGCCCCTTGAAAGGTCAGTCCTCTAGAATCCACTTTGTCACAATGCCATCCTAACCCCACCTGTTGTAAAGAAGCGAGATCAACGGGCATATACACCTCGGGGCGTCGTGGTGGGTAAAGGAAGTCATTCGAGCGGTAAGTCTCCTATAACCCCTTTGTGCCTAACTACGCCTTTCGCAGATACCGAACCGACCAAATTACGCTTCGGAGCGTCGCGGGCTACGGAGGAGAAGGGGCTATACGCTTCGGAGCGTAGTAGTGGCGAATGAAAGCCCTTCGAACGGTCAGTCTTCTAACCCTTCTAACCCATCATACCACCATCGTCCTAATCATGCCTCCTATAAATAATCGACTGAATTGCGCTTTGGAGAATCGCGGGCTACGGAGGAGAAGGGGCTATACGCTTCGGAGCGTAGTGGTGGCGAATGAAAGCCCTTCGAACGGTCAGTCTTCTAACCCGTCTAACCCATCATACCACCATCGTCCTAATCATGCCTCCTATAAAGAATCGACCGAATTGCGCTTTGGAGCGTCGCGGGCTACGGAGGATAAGGGACTATACACTTCGGAGTGTAGTGGTGGCGGATGAAAGCCCTTCGAACGGTCAGTCTTTTATGACATCCATGTCACAATCCCATTCTAACAACAATCCTCACAGATATCGAACCGACCGAACTATACGCTTTGGAGCGTCGCGGGCTACGGAGGATAAGGGACTATACACTTCGGAGCGTAGTGGTGGCGGATGAGGGCCCTTCGAATGGTCAGTCTTTTATGACATCCATGTCACAATCCCATTCTAACAACAATCCTCACAGATATCGAACTGACCGAACTATACGCTTTGGAGCGTTGTGGGCTACGGAGGATAAGGGGTTATACGCTTCGGAGCGTAGTGGTGGCGGATGAAAGCCCTTCGAACGGTCAGTCTGCTGACCCCATCATACCGCAAAGTCATACTAACCATGCCTCATAAAGAATCGAGCCGACCGGGTATACGCGTTGGAGCGTCGTGGTGACTACAGATCAATGGGGTTTGGCGCTTCGGAGCGTCGTGGTGGCTAAGGAAAACTCACAAACTGGTAGGTCCGCCCTTTTCACTGATATCTCAGTGTTCATCCTAACCAATGTCTCCTATCAAGAATCGAACCGAACCGATCGAATATACGCCTCGGAGCGTCATGATGGCTATATATAGCCAGGAACACGGTGAGTATTCCCTGCTATCGAAGTAGTAATCGCGATCTAATCAGCTTTCGTAGGTTCATATGACTACAGGGGGTCTACCCGGGCGGTGGGTGGGAGGAGTAGACCAGTTTCGGCCAACTTTTCATTTTCTTTCCGTTTTTTGTATGCTTTTTGTATTCGGCTGCCATTAAGGCCGTTGTTTAGTGGTCGTTTCATTCTTTTATTATTATTACCTTGTAGCTTACCGAAATCGCAAATATGCTGTGTTCCTCTCCGTCAACCATCCTTTGTAGTTTCAAGCCCCGGTTGGTGCATTTGAATGGGATATGTGTTAGAATCCATGTCATGCCCCCATCAACAATTGAACACCAATAGGATGGGCTTTTAATTGTACGAGGGAAAAACCTCCGCGCGTAAAAAATAGCTGTTTATACGCGGAATGAGAATAATGTTGGATGTCTGAGTGGTTATAGGAGGTTATCATACTCTGTAGTGGAGGAAGACTTTCTAAGGTTCTGTGAGGTTGGTCAATAGGAAGGTCAGGGCATTCCAATTGCAGGTGGGGGTAACTTTGGAACCCGGACACCAGAGCAGCGGGGTGGGGTGTTAGGATAAAGGGTGGAGGAGTTGAGACATTGATATGTATTATTTGAGAGACTAATAATTTGCGGAGCGAAGCGAAGCAAATATATGATGAAAACCCTGGTCATTAAAAGTGGAGAATTTCCTTTTTGGGGTTCTTGGCGCGAATACAGCCCACTGATTGGTGTAGAATTAAGTGAAGTGCAATTCCATGACATTGCACTATGACTTCTACACACTCACAACACATTCATCTTTCATCTCATCAATCATACCATCTACTCTGTACAGATTCTTGAATTATAGATCACACATCTCATCAACTACCTACTTTATACAGATTCTTGAATTATAGATCATACATCTCATCAACTACCTACTCTGTACAGATTCTTGAATAGATAACATATTTGATTAATCATCTCTCATAGATTCTCAAGAATGAATAACATGTTAAAAGCCTGCATTCACTGCTTATGAAACCAGTCTCTTGATCAATTCATTTCTTTACAGTGTTCTACTACTTCTACAGCTGTCTGTCTTCAATACTGCACTCAGAGAACTCAGATATTGTAATCTTCTCTTATTACATCTTTTCTATCACTGATTATCTCTTTATACTGTGTAGAACTGTAAATAGATATATGCAGTGAAATCAGATTCTTTTACAGTTACAGATTCTGTGATAAATGAGTCTAAACTTCTTCTATTATATTAACACTTCATGTAATTAATAGCAGTCTCTCAAGTCTGTGAACAGTCTATTGAAATAGATCTATTATCTGAGATTAAGTTTTATCACTGTGAGATTTATAGTTCTGATATATCTTCATTAACAGTGATCTGTAAAAAGAAAACTGTCATTCAAAGAGCTTATCATATTATCAGATATTATAGAGAATATTTCTTATTAACTTTATTCTTAACTCAATTAAGAAAACAGTTACAGTTATTATCTTTGATAATTAATTCATCTCTTAGTTCTGTAGATCTCTCTTCAGTCTTTTATCAATTATCTATATTATCATTCAATTCATTTTCAAGCTAATCTTATTTCACTTTTACAGATATACTTCTGCTGCAGACATTTTTTACATCATTTTTCTTACTCTTAACTTCTCAAAACTCTGTTTCTCAGAGCTCTACAGATCTGTTCATTAATTAACTCAATAGAAGAGTTAGTAGTCTCTTAATATCTCAGCACTCTATATAATCTGAAAGCTCAATTAATACATTAAATATAGAAGTTCTTATAATTCTTCAGAAATATAATCAGTTATACACTGCAATTGTCTCAGATTCTTCAATAAATCTTCAGAGTTCTACTTATCTTACAGATTCAGCTGTTAATTCTGATAATTGACAGTGTATACAGAAATTTTATCACATACTTAAAGATTTACAGATAAAGATCTGTAGCTGTTATTGAATTCACTAGTTCAGAATGAATCTTTAAGATAATATTTATACTCATTATTATACTGTTAATTTGAGATAGCTGTCTGATAAGCTGTTTTTATTCTTTTAAGAGAATAATCTTGATCTCAGTGATCTTAATTCAGATCTCTCTGTTCTCAGTCAGATTGAAAAGATGTTAATTTTACATGTACATGTCTTCATTAAGATCTGTCAAGTCAGAGAACATCAGTATAAGTATAAAGATTATATTATTAGCTTTCTTAGAGACACTGACTGTGTTTATAACACTCTCTCACTTCTTTCTAAGAATCTTGATATTATTATATTGAAGTCTTTAAATTCAAATGCAGATCTCTGCTTATAATATCAGTTTTACTGAGATTTCATGATTTATAAAGAAGCTGTTACTCAATGACTAATCTATCTCTGTAAAAATTATCTCAGTTATCAGAACATTGTGATTGATGAAGAGACTTGAAATCAGTTATATGAAAATAAAGATGTCTCTGATCAGATTTCTTTTCATAAGCTTGATAAGCAAGAATTAACAGCTGTTAAGAATGAGAATTATTTGAATCTTGATAACTTGAATATCTCATCTGAATACTCTGATGTTTCAGATCTTTTGATCTCACAGTCTGAAGTTAAGCAACTTCATCATGAACTTGAAATATCATAGTAAGAATAGATTGATTATCTCACTCTGTCTTTGACCTGTAATACACTACTTAGTGAGTTTAATAATACTCATTCACTCTTTTCTTAGGCCTTTTCAACACTTTTCTTATAAGATGAAGTTAAATTCATTCTCTCTAGACAAAGAATAATTAGTCTTGCAGATTATATACAGTTTCTTCTTAAATATCATGACAGCTGCTTTGTCTGTTATAGTTATTTTTAATATATTCTTTTCAATTCTCTATTCTACAGATAGATTAATAATTGAGATCACTTTTTCTACAATTAAACTGACTCTCTTATTAAGAATCTCACTCTAGAGAAGCTGCAGACTGCTTTTACTGCTGATACTTTACAATCTGTCACAATTTTAAATTCACTTATACAGTTTGCAGAGAGTCTTCATAAAACCTGTTCTTTTTAAGATGTAAAATGTTGTCAGCTACAAGTCTATGTTCAAAATATCAGATCTTCATATCTATTTCTTACTCTCTCAGCTGCAGATCATCACTGAAATGATCTGATATATCACTTTTCTAACTATGTTATTTGAAAGCACGGCACTGATCTTGAGAGATTGAAGTTTGTAAGAGATAGTATTTGTGACTATTTTACTATAGTCATATATTACTTTTATCTATAACTTACAATCTTCAAGGAAAAGATTCTAGACCTGAAATTCAAAATCCTAGATCACTGAACTTGTTATGAGTGATAAGACTGTGAATCAGTGCACTCACATAGTGTATTTTAGTGTAAGAATGCACTGAATCCTGAACTTGATATGAATGAAGACTTCTATCAAGCCTTTGCTGAATACTGAGGTCTCATTATTACAGCTGAGAATTCTGAGCCTAATCACACTCAGTCTGAAGATATACAGTTATCTCTTTCTCTCAGCTATTCTGATCAGATAAATATCATTGAATATTTATCTATGATTCTCAACTGTGTTCAATATCATCACTGTAGTGAAAAGTACTGCATTTATAAATACTGAGTCACTGATAATCTATATTGCTGATTTCACTTCCTGTATGAATGCTGAACTGACTGTGCTATTCTCAAATCTTTGAGTAGTAGATATTATCAGCTACACTCTCATTGTAACAACTCAATTCTCAATAACTACAACAGATTGATTACAGTTAGCTGGCTAGTAAATACTGATATTGCTTTCTGCACTGACAGCTGTGCTGTTCTTGATTATCTGTCTAAGTACATTGTCAAGACTGAAACAGATACAGAATTCTATTATCAGATTGTTCAATGAGTGATTTTAAGAATTAGTTCAAGTCACTCACTGCTCTCTACAGTTGTTAAACTTATGAATCAGCTCATTGATGAGTGTGATTAATCTGCTCAGAAGATTTATTATCTTCTTTTAAATCTTTCTTTATAAATGAGTTCTCATGAGTCAATTGCAGTTGATTGTCAGTCTGAATCTTAACATCATTATAGCTATATTCTTGAATCTGATGAATTACAATGTGATTCATTCTTTTTGAAAAAATATAAGCAGCAGTTAACTGAATTTGAAGATCTTTCATTTCTTGAATTTCTTCAAATCTTTTCTCACAGTCATTAAATTAAGAGATGTCTCTGTGTAAAACTCTGAGTGTTAATCTACTTTTCTATTTATCAGTTCAAAACTGATTCAGAGAACTATGCTTGTGTCAAACTTCTTCTTCATTATTCTTTTTATTAAATTGAAGATCTCAAGATTGTTGATCTTCTCACTTCTTGATTCTCTTTTACAGAGATCTTTAATTATTGTCATCTTTCTTATAATCACTCAGTTGATGTCTATGATGAAGACATGCTGAAATCAGAACCTGAGTTTGAAGATGATCAGAATAATGAAGAGAAGCTTAATCTCTCTTAAGTATTACTCATTTATCAAAACTCACAGTGTGATAATAATGATCTCATTGACATCTGAAACTGTGAACAGCTTGATCATTGATTCTTAAATTTCAACTATGATTGAAGCTCTCATGTTAACACTTATATCAATCTTGATACAGAATTTTGAAATAATATGAAGATCAACTTCTCTGCAGACACTACTCTTTATAAATATGACTCTCTCAAGACTCTAGACTCTGATCAATATCTTCTTCATAACACTATTCTCTATCATTATACTGAGATTCTTAACAGTGAATCTCTAAATTCTTTGCTAATTAATCTAGATAATGAAGATAACACTGATAAAACTTATCTGATTATGATTTTGTCTACAACTCTTTAAAATCTTGCAGAGGCTCAAGATCTCTCAATCTCAATTATTCAAGTCATGTCAACTGATGTAGCTGCTCACTTCATTAACACTTGAATCTTACATACATTATTTCAGCTTCTTATACACAAGAACATGCTATATGAACTGTCTAATCTTTAAAATCTTTGATCTTTGCAGGCTCTTTTTAAGAATGTTCACTATCTGTTAATTGATGAAAAGTCAATGATTGATTTACAGCAACTTTCATAGATTGATCAGGCCTGTTATTACATATTCTCTCACAAGAATGCTCATTTTAATGATCTCAATGTCATTCTCAGTGAAGATTTCTACCAGCTCTCACCTGTTTTTCAAACTTCACTCTATCATAACAGATATATTGATCACAAAGAAGATATTCAGAGTTATTAAATCTACTTGACTTTTAGTAAAATCATTCAACTTACTGTGATTCAATAATAAGTGAGTGAAGATGTCATCAGCTGTCAGTTTCATAAAATCTTGAAAAATCTTCATCTTAATCAGTTAACTCTGAATGATTGAAAGTTTCTTTCAAAGCATGTGCAGGCTCTTATCTCTTATGAAGTCTCAGTCTTTGAGAATGTAATTCACATTTATGCAAAGAAGTATCATGTTCATGTCTATAATGATAATACTATTTGAAGCTGTAAACAATCTGTTATTAATATTCAGGTCATAAATATTGATATAGATACTTCTCAGTTAGATTCTAATAAGACTGACAATCTTCATCAGAATCTTTCTCTCTTTATCAGCTGCTGAATCATGCTTCTACAGAATATTTGAATAGACTGTAGTCTCATTAACAGTGCTCTTGAGACTCTTCATAACATTGTATAAAGTTCAGATGTGAAGAATCTCTGTCAAGATTCTTCATTTACACTGCTAATCAATTTTGACAAATATGACAGCTCTGCTTATTTGAAATGAGAGAATCTTAAACTTGTGCCTATCTTCTTCAGCTGTTATGACTTTTCTTATATTAATCAAGTCTGCAGCTGTATGCAGTTCTCTATTACAGTTGTATATATTATTACTGTTCATAAATTTCAAGAATTATCACTTAATCAGACTGTTCTTGATATTTCTGAGACTGAATTTCAGACTGATCTCACATATGTTGTGATTTCATAGATCAAAATATATCAAGATCTTCTGTTCAAATAACTCTTTGATTATTTCAGATTTTGCTGACCTGATGATAAAGTAAGCAGAAGCATGTAAATATGCAAGGTTAATTATACAAGATATCAAAGTCAATAGATAACTAAGTTATATCTCTTTTCTTTTTATATGTCTCTGTTAATCTATATTCTATATAGCTTCATCTGCTCTTTATTTCATCTTTTTCACAGTTTATATTTGATCTGTTTATTCACTTATTCTTCATTGCTGTAAGTTCTTTATTCTCTGTTCTATTATTCTCTCTGTCTGTTCTGCTTGCAGATTCACTGAATTCAATCATTGAATTTGATAAATTTATTACAGCTGATTCTATTATAATCACTGAATCTGAGAATGAGTAGTTAGCAGTCTACAGAAGATATTGAAATAATTCAGATATTAATTTATATAGCTCAGATTTAATATAATGACATCTTTGATCTGAGAGATCAAGAATCTTCTGAGACCTGTGTTATTAAAGTCTGTATTGTATTATATAATAAGAGATATTGAATTCTTACAGCTGTCAACACATGTATGAGAGAAAGTGAATAAATCTCAGAGTATTCTCTTTCTCTTTAAAGAATTTATCTTATCTCTCATCTCTTATCTCTATCAGCTGTTTTTTTTTTTTTTCAGAAATCATGTCATTTATCTCTATTAATTCATCAGAAGTTCAAAAAATCATTAATACTATTATTATGACTGAAAACAACATCTTGAAACATATTCATTGTAAGTAAGATTCTTAAAATGATGAAAATTGCAATTCTAATGATTAGCACAGTTCTTAATAATCTTGTTCAGTCTGCTGAGCTGTCAGCTGTCAATCTCATTCTCAGTTCTGTGTCTGTGCCTGCATCTGCCTCTGCTGTGTCTGTTAGTTCTAGATTATCAAGTTAATCATTGACTTATTTAGCTGAAAGAATGTCTGAGAAGCTGTTAAAGAAGCTACAGACTCTCATCAAATTATTCTATACTTATAAGTCAGTCTTATGAGAGAGTTATCAGATTAATACAAAAATTAATACAAATTATAAAGCTCTTCTTCTATAATTCTATAGTGCTGTTTTTATGATTCTCTGCAGTCACTGTATTAGAGAAGAAGACTCTTTTATCATCTGTATCAGTGCTCTGAATCAGTGTTATAAAGCTTGTATTAGTTGTTATTATAATAACACTGAAAGTCACTGCTCTTATCATAGAAGTGAGTCACTTTTTAATATGAAATATATCAATTTCAATACAATTAACTAATAGTTATATATAGTCAATATCAGTAAGAAGAATGATAAAGTGAAAGAAAAGAAATAGAAAAATGAAAAGAGAAAGAAAGTTAAGAAGAAGAGTTTATTTAAGAAGCACTCTGTGACTGAGAATACAGAGACTAGAGTCTTGAAAAAACAGATAACAAGTGTTGAGTCAGTTGATAATTGTGATATTGAGATTTTAACTCTTCATATTGAAAATGAGACTCTGTGCAAGAAGAATGCAGCTCTGAAGATTAAATTCAGAATTATTATAAGCCTTCTTCAGATCACTCAAACTGTTCTTGAGAATGATATATAAGTCAGCAGAGCAGGGCAGAATGTTTTTTATTTTTTTTCTTGCTTAGTTAGCTGATGCTTTTGCACTGAAAAATGAATCTCTATATGTTTTTACAGTTCTATCCCTTCTATTATTATTAATAATAAGCTGTAAAATCAATCTTGCAGGGTCTTCTGTTTTGAGCTTAGCTCTGCAATGTCTTTGCACACAGAGGCTCGTGTGCATTAAGATATTTTAGAAGTAACTATGCAACTATTAGTGGTGGTGTTTGAAAAGCTGTAATCCTGCGTAGGTGTAGTTAACAGATTTGGAGCTCACCAGGCGCAGTTAACTAGTTAGTTAAGTTACCCTAACTAGTTATGGGAAAAGAACTTCGGTGCCTAGCCTATCTACACGCCAAGCCCCCAAAGGCAATAAGCGGGCGCTAGAAAGTTTCTTATATACGGAATAAAACTATGATGATATACTACAATAGACGATTTCACTTATTATGTTACGGAGAAGCCTATAATCGTCTGTTTGTCATTCAAGATAACCTCCCCCAAAATGCACCTACTAGCACCATGTATCTAGAAGATAAAAACTTTCCTCAAAAGCTTAGGTAGACAAGGGGGGAAGAAAACAGATTAAATCGGGCAGAATAACAATAATGGAAGAAGAAAAGAGGAAACATGATAACAGCTTCTATGATAAACCCTTAGATCTATTGCCCATGGATCTCCCGCGGGTAGTCGCCCCAAGGTGAGGCTGGTGAGGACAGTGAGGACAGCGAGGACACATCACCAGGGTTGGAGAAGTTCTCAATCACGGCGTTGCTGATATACGGCTCCGGACTCTGGATTTGGAACCCGGGTGGATAAACAACCTTAGAATTTGGCTTTCGCTTGAAACATTTGCTGCCGCCTCGTTGATAGTCGAGGCCGACATACGCGTCAATTGCCTTCAGCCCGTTGGCGAGACAAGCTGGGTCATGTCCCCGCTGGATGAGTGTCTTGCCACTCTTATCATAAAGATATAGCACACCAATCTCAGCGAAAAGCTCGATATCTGCAGATTTGGAGTAGTGTGTTGGCCAACAAGAATCCTTTGCTTTGGCAGTTCGGAAGGTCTCGCTCGCATAGAATCCTCGGTCAATGCAATGGCTAGCCTCATGCATATATACACTATCTTGCGCTTCGCCGAAGATCATGACCATATTCCAGGGGAGAACAGCGGCACCACCAACAGAGCTATGTTCGAAGGCAATAAGGTGAATCATGTGGCTCCGCAATCCTGGTGGCAGCTGGCCAACTCGCCTGATCACATCATCCAATGACTGCTGTGCATCAGAACAATGACAGATTACCCAGGGGTCTTGGTCCGGGCAGTCTTCGTAGGTGACATTAAAGACATTAAGACGCCTAGGTTCGCACCGGGGCCTCAGGTCATCATTTGACCTCTGTGCCCGAGCCTCATTCCAGCAAAATTCGGGATAGCCCTTGAACTTTGGCCAATACACAACTTCTGCAGGCCTAGAGCCTGGCACGGGATCCGTGTTGAGTACTTCTATTCCGGCTGAAAACAGAACACTTCTAATACATTTATTAACCATCACAATTTTTCTAATGGGGGATGGGAAAGGGGCCGGGAGGACATGAGCTCTCTTTACCTGTACTTCACGAGTTCGGGCGCTTTCTTGTCCGGGCACTGGCCTGGTGCATCCCACCTCTGATCCAGAATTGCTCCAAGGACTTTGAGTTGATTGCTCATGCAGCTTGCATCAAATGGGGGAGTGCCTTTGACAAGCTTCAAATATGCCGCGACTGCAAACCCTTTCTCTACTGCATCTCCCAATGACCCATCCCGCTTCAAGGACTCCGCAGCACGTGTATCAGCCACGCAGGTATCGGCATTAACAGCGTTCAAAAAGGTTTCATAGGGAACGCCAGGCCCACCAACCCACAGTGCTGCCAACGCTGCTTTGAGGCCATCAGCTGGGCGAAAATATCCTCCCAACATCACGGAATGCTTATTATGCCACCTGAAGCTCAGGCCTCGTTCGATATTTGCATTGAGAAGGTCAGAGATCACACCGCGGGCACTTGATGGGAGGCGGCCAAGTAAGTCAAAGGTAGCTTCTCTGCTAATCTCTGCTTTGGCGCAGTGGCCAATAACCCAGGGCTCAGGACACTAAGGTGCAAACTCGGGTTAGGCAACTGAGGGTACGTGAACTGATGAGGGCCACACATGTAGGAGAGAATTGAAGGGGTTCGCACATCGGCATAAGTGACATTGTAAACGGAGAAGTCAGCTCTACAGTAGTGTCGACTCTCCTTCTCGTAATAACTCGCAGTCCAGGTACTATCTGGCGGAAGCCCTTGTTCAACTGTAAAAGTAGAGATGGTTAACGTATAGCTCACCAACGCTACATTACTAAGATCTGCTTGACGGAGGCCGGGGATGGTTTACTCTCATATGTGGTCCATTTCTTATAAGTATACTTCTGCGGAGCGGGTAGGCTAGCGTCGAAGGTGGAATCAAAATCGAGGACATTTTTAACAAGTGGATCTTTGATGATCTGGGCACTTGCAAGCCCAAGCAACATCAACGGGCATAGTAAAGAGAGGACGACCATCTTGCCCTGCTAGGCAAAAGGAGACGGCAAGCACTTGCCTTTGACGGATAACAATGTCCAAAAGTAAAGGATAGAGTGTGTAAGGAATGGCAGAAAAGTTGGATTCAGAGCGGGCCCAGCTGGGTATATATGCATTTTCCATACATGCTGAGATTGCACGAAGCAGTGCAGGGTAGGATGCCCACCCCATTTTGCATTACGACCGTTGAGATGTCCATCGAATCCTCCGTAAGTTTAGAATCTCAAAGTCGCCGCAACGGCCAACACCAGCAGGCAGCATGGCGGTCTAGTAGAAGGTGTAGTGAGAGCTTCCGAACTTGAGTAGCTAGGATTCTAGCAGTGCGACACTGTCAGAATATGAGGTTGGGGACCCGGTGTTCCTCAAGGATTGCTGCTTTCTTGTTTAGTAGCCCAATGGGGCGTTCCCCCATCACTTGCTGACGGGGCAAGTTGAGAATAATTATGGCTGCATCAATATGTCTTGTATCCCCATATAGTCACAAGAACGTCAGCGCCTTGTGGCCTGCGTGGAGTCATCTGGACAAGCGAAGGAGTGCCTTGAAACACCCATCCTTGCTCCAACTTCGCGTATTCGCTAGGCTGTATTATTATTGAGGGATCAAGAGCGATAACCTAAATATCTCGGAGCCTTTTGAACAATTGACAGGCGCAGCGGACCCTGCGGAGAGTTCATTCATTGTTCCTGGTGAGATCCATCAGATTCAGCAGAATGTTTGAACCGCACGGGATCCGATTTCGAAATTCAAACAGGGATCTACCGCGAGTTTATAGCAGGGTCTCAATTCCGAGCCTGCCGAGATCAACAGTCTTGAGAAACCGAAAATATCCAAAGTGCAAGTGTCTGGATCATTATTTGCAGCAGGAGAATGCACGAGTTCCATGGAGAAAACAGCGGCCGTTACCAGAATTTCCCGCTAACGTTAACTACCAAGGAACGTGGCGTTTTAAGTTAAATTTGAAGCCTGAGTTCTGCCGGAGTAAGGAGTACAGGGGTCCATAGTGCCGCAGCGGGAGCGTCCGGTTCTTCCGTTGCTTATTATTATATATTATTCTTGAAGGCGTTGATGGATGAGAAAGAGCATGGAGGCCGAAGCTAGATTCTGTAGTAGTTGGGCCCGAGATAGTCTCGGCAATAATACGAGGACTTTCGATTGATGCCCTGCATAGGGCTAGTGATTAACTACGCTGCGTAGACGTCTCAAACCCGAAGATTCCTGAGAAGGCCTGGTCTTTTTATGAAAATCCTCCATCCATTGCTCTGATAGCTATGAAACCAGACAACGCAGCGGGATACGACATTATTGGAGCTGGCTGGCAGATAACTTATTCCCCTGACGGGTAACTTATCGTTGTCAATTGACAGCACACCGTCCTCAAAGGCGATATCCGACCAAGTTCAACAGCTTCAAAAGACCGAGTATCCTTCAGCATCGGGCTGGGGTCATTGTTCAGCGGCCTGTTGATGGACAGAACCAGGAACGCTTGCCGAAATTACATGGCGGGTCTCAAAATACAGGGTTTTATTAGCTCCATCCAACCTTGTCTTATCCCAAGTTAATATCCAGCAAAGAATACCCTGTCCTGTCGCAACTGGGTGGCCCCTGTCAGGTTCATACGCAGTAGGCTTCGAAATCACTCCGTCTTTGATCCTATGTACGCAGTATGAACCATGGTGTTGTCTTCCCTCGGATTGCCAAGGATAGCCCTCGCCATCTCGTCTACTCCGTAGACAGCTGTGACTGGCTACCATCAGATAGTGAATGCGATGGTTTGGATGGGATATTCCATTCCAAAGCCTGCCAGACGAATGTTCGAGTCTTCAAGACCCAAAAATCACGAAGCATGGAGTCAGTGGCTGCCTGCTGAAGAATATCGTCAGCTCCGTCCCGGATGCTAACTGCCTCACTCTCAGGCTCGTGCATGAACTGACTGCCCTTCGAACCCTTGTTGGACCTGCTTTCATAGCTTCGTTGGTCATCCCTAGTATGACGCGAAGCTCCTGGCGCGCTGGTCAAGGGGTCCGTGGTTGCAACATCATGAACACCACCTCACGGACACCGCCCATGTCGCAACGGTCCTCGCGGATGGATCTCTTGCTGTTTATTCGTACTATGTTTCTTATCGTCACTGTACTGCTGTTATTCCTGTTCGAATACTTCTCCAGCCTGCCCAGTTTCTTAGTAGTCTATGAAATGGTTATAACAGGTTGGAACTTGATCATTAGCCTATAAAATCCTAACGGAATGCCTGAGAATCCTTGCAGAAGGTAGGGTACCCTCTTCCCATCCATCCTCCACAAGTTCAGCCGCGCTATTACCCCATCAAACAAGGCAGAGAAATGTGTCCGTGTCGGAGGATTACATTGTGTCTCTCGACCTGCTAGAAGGAACATACTGTGTAGCTGCTCCCCGGCACTAGTTCCTTCGGTGCTCCTCAGAACCAAAAATGGCTGTGATATCAACACGATTCAGCTGTTCGTGGTCCGCGTTCCGTGTTCGGGAGCTGTCAAGTCCCGTATCTCGCTCAGGATTTGGGTTTGGGTTATATTTCCTCCGTGAGAAGAGGTATCCGTTCTAAAATTTGTCCTGAGAAGCTGCAAAAGCCATATCTGTCGAGAAATCCGCTGATTTCGAGGAGATCGTGGTACGCTCCTTGAGAGGCACGCCTGCGAATGATGCTCGGAATATTCTGTTCCAATGCCTGCTTTTCAAAGTGTTGACAACATTCGGCGACTAACATGATTAGTTTTCTCTCTTCTCATGGAGAAAGTAGAGAAACAGACTTTCGTGGGAGCAAACTATATCAATGTAATTACCGTGCTTTTCTTCTAGCTTCTGCATCTATAGAAACGCGCACATACTACGGACATTTCAATATCCGCGGAATATTCGCCCCTACGTCATCTCCCCCAGTATATTACCTCTCGCATCGGGTGTATGATTGGAACAGCGGCAAATTAAAGGGCGATGCTCGGTCATATTGCACGACTGCGATCCTCAATACGAGCACGAAAAGAGAGTTGAATGGAGTACCTGCTCCATACCAAATGGACTCCAGGCGAGTTTGGGCAGTGCAGTGCGGATATGAGTGAAGTACTCGCGCCAGACATGTTGTTTCTATCATTTTTTATAATCTCCACATTTTTCCTTCGCTTTCTTCTCTTTTCTCTTCTCTCTCTACGACGGATGTGAGTGCATGATCGTTTATTTTGCTCTGCTCTGCTCCACAGCTTTGTAATGTTCCAGATCATTAAAGAGAGCACCCGGTGTTGTGCGGACAGTAGAATGTGGTTTAACATCTTAGCAGCAAGCATACTCCAAATAATTCAATCAAGGACAATTAGATTTTAGTCTATGACTCCCTCTATTTTTATATGTCCCAGATAGATAGGTTCCCACCCACGATGTGTTGCCTAGGTAAATCCAAGTCAGTTTTTCCAAGCTCATGAATGACCCAGCTTTCCAAGAAAACCCAATGAGCAGGATATGGAGACTTTTGGCCTGATATAGTGCGTACGTACTGCTAAGGAACTAAATAGAAATTTCAGATTAATAAACCGTCTATGTGTTCGTTCTTAAAAGAAGAAATAAATTTCCCAAATTTCATCTCCACATCTCATCTCGTCCTCGAATTAGAAATACTCAAGACCAATATATCCGTTGCGCCAACAGCGGTCAACTTATCCATGACCGTGGCGATGGACTTCTTCTCTACCATGGAGCTTACCGCAACCCACCCAGCGCCTTCGATGGGGGTTATTGTTGGTGCGCGGTTGCCAGGGGTGATCTCGCATGCCGCCTGTAAGAGGGGGCGCGGGACGTTGTACTGGCAAAGGACGTATTTTTTGGCGGCTAGGGGGAGAGAAGGCATCTAGTCAGAATTCATTTCGTCCCAAAATATTTGATAGTACAAATAGGGAAGTTAGGGGGATAGATGTTGGGAATACTCACTGATGACACCACGTATTCTGGATTCGATGAGACTAACAAGTTCGTGATTTGTGTTTCGGGATTTGACGAGGACGGCGGTGCTGTCGACGACTGTGCCAATGGGCCTTAGCCCTGCGGCTTTCATGGTTTCACCCGATTCTAGGGGAAGGAGGAGTTAGGGTATTTAAACTCAAGGAGTTTGAAAGGGTGCAACCTGAGCGCAATCAGGGGGGGGGGGGGGGGGGGGGAAAAAAAAAAGAAAGAAATAAAAAGATGGTAACACACCAACTAAATCCACAATCCCATCCGCAACACCCAGGGCACATGCAGCTTCTACACTCCCACCAACGTATTTAACCTTCGTAGTCGGCGTCTCCTTGCCCTCCAACTTTGTAAAATACGCCTGCGTCAGGCCCGTAAAGCTCGTGACGACATTCTTCCCAACCAATTCCTTTGGATCCGTTATGGATCCCTTCTCGGGGACCTGGACTTGCAATTTGCACCCGCCGAATCCCAGATCGAGCATCTCTTCTAAACCGGATACCTTACCTGGCAGGAGATTGGCGTCATGTTCAGCTACTTGGTCACGACCGGTGATGCCCAGATCGACACCGCCCTCGCCGACGAAGGTGGGAATATCAGCTGCGGGGAGGAAAATGAGGGCAATTGGGAGGTTTTTCACTAGGGCGATGTCAAGGCGGGTTTCGCGGCGGAATTGGATGTCAGAGCCCACAAGGAGGTCAATGGCGGCTTGCTGGAGACGACCCTCTGTTGTGGATTGTTAGAAGTGTCTATTTCGTTGTAATTGAAGGGGGTCCCAGATATGATGTTGTTGGGGAGGGAGTGATTGACTTGCTTTTGGGGATCGCGAATCGTAACCGGCCTTCTAGACTTGCATTTATTTAGTAAACTCCCATATAGAAGAAGCAGACATAGACAATGCGCTTACTGATTGACAAGATCCATGTTGCTGGAGGAGGAAGATATGCGGAAAAAGTGCGGGTGTTAAACTGAGGGGGTGGTTTTTCCCTCGTTTGAGGGAGGAGAAGGATTACTGTACGCTAGTATAGTTATAACTACTCCGTGGAGCCCGCAAAATATCAATAATGCAGAAGTTATCTCAGAAGCTCAGCCACTGCCCAGGATATTGCTGTTTAACAGTGAATCAATGATTAGTCACTCTTTGAAGCTAACTCAATAGATCAGATCTCATGATTTTTACAATTATTCTATGCAGTATGCCAGTATCATACAGTTTCATACTATTCAGTATCAGAAGAAACAGTTTTTATTTATTAGCAACACAGAAACAATTTACTTCATTCTATTTATAAGTGAGAATAATAAATTAACTTTATCTATTCATTCTATATTATTTTAGAGTCTAGAATAATTAATATTCTCATGAGTTAAAATAATATTAATTTTTTTATAATCTTTTTTTTTTTTTTTTTTTTGTGATTTTGATTAAAGTATCAGATTTTAACTTGAAGTTAATTCATATAAATATAAAGAATATTTTAATATTTTAATAATTTCAAGTTAGAAAAGCAATTATTTTTAATAAAATATATATGTATTAAATATTAATTTTTTTAAGATAAAAATTATATATTTCTATTCTTTTTCTCTTTAACTACAATCTAAGACAAGCCTCAATCGCTCGCTTGCGCTCGCTTATTCAGCTTGAAAAACGCGCTGTTTAATTTCTCAGGCAAATGTAATGAGATATGAACAACTGCATGTGACTTGTATAGGTGAATTCCATGTAATTCACAGCTGTGATTCAAAGGTTGCTTAAGCCAGCGTATGTTTACAGGCGTACGCCGGCTTCTTATATATTGTAATATCATACACTAAATTAATTAGCAGCTGTTATGACCTCTTTACACTCATACACTAGTAGTTCAGAAGTGACTGTATTATTATCTGATAGTTGTATATTCTTCTGAATCACATTCTTTCTCATCAGATTCAGTCACACTCATGTGATTATGTTATATATTCTAGCTTCATGCAGATTAGCTTGTTACTAGCATTTCATAATTATGTGATCTATCTCTGATTTAACTAGTATTCTGTGTACACTCTTATAAAGAAACTTTTACTATATTACATTACTTATTCACTAACTTTTTTCATTCTTCAATCATCTTCTTCATTATTATTGAATGTTATCACTATTTAAGATTTCTACTTCTTCTTCTATTTAACTCTTTCTATCTGTTTATCTATTACATTGTATGTGTTTCTGACAATGATCTCTCATTCTTATAATAAGTGTTATTATAGTGCTCATATCAGGCAGTTTATTAGCAGTAAGTGTAATACATTGTGAAATATAATCAGAACTTGTTTATCTTCTAATAATTATCAGAATGTATTATCATGAATAATATATCTTCTTTATCTTCTTATACATCTCTGACTGTTTTCTTCTTAGTGAGTTTCTGATTGTGTTTTCTGACATAATTTTGCATGAATGCAGATGCTGATATGTTTGTTTTTATTCATGTAGAATTTTCACATATTGACAGATTCATATCTGCTAATAATAGTGAACTCAATATTGAATTATTGATTGAGAACTTGAAGAATGTGATAATAAAGAAATTATCTGTGTTATATATAACTGAGTCTTCTGTGTCTCTTTCTATTTCTTCTGCTACTTCTTTCTCTGCTATTTCTTCTCAATCTTCTACACTTATCTCTGTGTCTGATTCTTCTGCTTCTGCTATCTCTGTTTCTGTGATTCTCACTTCTGCTACTTCTGCTCTCACTGCTGTCTTCTTCATTACTAGCTTTTCTCATTTCAAGAAGATGTTATATAGACTTAATAAATCATGTTTCTCAGTATGTATGCTTCTGCTCTTCTTGCTGATCTCTAGAATAATTTATTATATGAAGACAGTGTATAACATGATTATCTGAAGCTTGATCACAGACACTGATTATTATGTTTATTTTAAATATTTATAATGAGATAATTATTTATTCATTTCAGAGAATCATCTCTCTTCTTAATAGTATTAAGATTGTAAGTCTTTTTCTTTTTATCTTTTCTTTCTAATGCTGATTTTTCTATTCTTAGAGAAAATTATTATAAGTTTTATTATATATAAAGTTATAATATTCACAGATATCAAGAAACTTTTCATAACTGTTAAATTCAATATTATAAGTATATCTGCTCTAATGAATATCTTTGATATAATTAATCTATATCAGTCTATTCTCTGACATTTATTATCTGACTTTATGATGCAGATGAAGAATATCTATGTTTTCAGAAATAAGAACATAGATGTTGTACTCTTTTACACTTATAGATGTGAGGCTTGTATGTCTTGTCTAAGATATTATTATGAAAATAAGCTGTTCACACACTGTATTCTGCTTTCTGTATTTCTCTGTGTCTCTCTCTCTCTTTCTGAGAAGTCTCATGTATGCTGTAATTACATGTACAATTCTAAGATCAGTGAGTGTTTATTCAGTAATTATTACTTCTGCTTTTTATAGTTTTATACACTAATAATAGTTCTTAGTTACTTCAGTGTCAGAGACTATTTTAATTGAAGATGATAATACTGCTAAAACTATCTTCTCTTACTTTCAAGCTTCTCTTATCACTTTCTCTTTCTTCTCTGCAGAGAAGGTTGTGTGTACACTGAGTTATAAGTATTCAGTCTCAGATGACTTCTGTTATTTATTCAGTTCTATGTCTTCTTCTTCTTCTATTTCTTTTATCTCTGTTCTCTCTGCTCTGACTTCTGATTCTGCAGGTCTCATACTCTTCTTCAATTTCTCTATGCATATGTGTGTGCATTTCTATATTGACATTTCAGTCAATCTTGTAATTAATGACATTAATGTTATATGCAGAGTGATAGAGAAATCAGAGACATGCATAGCATTGTTACAAGAGTAACTTACAGCTCTCAAATTTCTTACAGATCTCAAGTTTTAAGATTTTCTTTTTTGATGTTTTTTAAATGATGTGATGTTGGAAATAGATTAAATGTGTAGTATATAAAAATGAATGAAATATGTATAATAACATTTGTCTTTTACAGCTGACTCTTATAATTGATAATCAATTCATTATTTCTTTTCTTACACTTTTTCTTTATCTGCTAGTCACTACTCTTATATAATCTCTATATAGTACAGTGTTTAATGACTAGATTCAGCAGCTTTCATCTTTTATAATTCTGTCTTATGTATTATACTGTCTCTCTTCATCTGCTTAAATTACTACAGTGAATAGCTTATTAAAACTAATCTTATCTGATCTCTGAGCATTCTCAGAGATTAAGATAACTTGATCTCATATATCTATGAATATTTCAGATAGTTCATTCTCTGTGATCTTTGTAATTGAACTGATGTAAACAGTTGAATTTAACTCTGAATTTCTTTTTCTTCTATAATCTGACTCACATGCAAGTCTGCTGCTCTGAGATCACTCTTTACTATATTACACTCACTGTCTGTGATATGTTATTGTATAATCAGCTACAGTCTTATCACTTATTAAAGTGTGATATCTGTCTGATTTCTTCATTTCTTTTCATTCTTTTCTTATAATTATGAAAAGGTCAGAATAAGTGAGATTATTTAGTTTATAAGTATCTATGATTTCTCTTACTTCATAAAACTTTTCAATTATAAGCTTCTTCTTTTTCAACACTGATGATAGTGCTGTAGATGACTATAATTCACTCAGATCTTACATCTTTACTTTTATAAGTTATGAATCATTGATTAAGTTGTGTAAGACTCATTCCTCTGATTCTTTCAATGCATACATTCTCAGAGAATGTGATTTAAGTATTTTATATAACTCAAATCATCTAGATTGAAACTTCTCAGAACTCTCATTGTGTATGAGAACTTATGTTCTTATCTTGAGACTTGATTTCTTAACTAGTGAGTCTTGTATTCTTTTTGATTGAATTGCTCAGTTCAGGAGTAACTCATTAGCTTTTGTGTATGTGTGACTGATCTCTTTCAATCTTGATTCTGCATCTGCAACTGTTGTGTCTGCAACTGCTGTTTTCTCTCTCATCTTTTTCAAAGCATTCTTCAGAATGTGCGGATACAATTTATACAACAGGTAGAATGATGAACACTTGAAAACTGCATGCTGTTGAATCCGCGTGGTCAGTAGTGCCTGCCTGAGATATTCATCTCATAGTCTTGTAGGCTTGCTCACTAGATATTTTATCAGCATGTTGCTCAAGATTTCATTCAAGTGTTTCATCTTCCTATTCATTCACAGATAATATGATGTTGTTCTACAATGTCTTGTCTGTAACTGGCTCATGAAATGCCTCATCACTTCTTCTACAAGGTTCACACTGTTATCAGTTATTATTATTATTATTATTATTATTCTTCAATTATAGATGTATGCAGTCAGAGACTATGACATCTACCTGAGAACTTTTAGTTCTCAGGGTTTTTTCTATCTGTAAAGTTAACTATTATACATTCATCAATTTCAGATATGCAAAATCAGAAAATTCCAGCTCAGAATACAAAAACTGTTTACAAATTGCAGTGTTTTAACATCTTCTGATACTTTGAAATCATTTGACAATATCATGACAAAGGAAAAGAGAACACAGTCTTAAAGATAGACACATTAAATAGATAGACAGAAAGAAATTGAAAGGAAAAGATAAAGTAAAGAAAGACTGTAACAAAACAAATTATTAAAAGATAGTATATAGCTATTTTAACAGACTATATCTGATTAATTTCCTCCTCTTCATATTCAGATAATTCTGAATTTAGTCATTTTCTTGTAGCTGCTTGAGTTTCTGATAGAAAGTCTATTAAATATTTAATTCCTGTCTCAGTTGAGAATAAGAATCTCATATTTAATTGATTTAGATTATACTTCTCTTTCAATCTGACTCTGAGACTATTGTATAATGCACAGTGCATTACAACATGCTCAGGATTCTCATTTGCATTGCAGAATGAGCATTCTATTAAGTCAAATCTATCATCAAATCTTTGTATATAAGATTTGAAATAGCCATGTCCTAGTTTCAGCTGTATTATAGATGAGAATATTTTCTTTTTACATTTAATTGAACAAGATTTCCACTTGGGTTTTGTTTCAAATCTTGAATAATGTATACTCTTCTTTTGTTTCTGCCAGCTTTCATTTCACTTGTCTAAACAAGATTCTTTTATTTTTCTCTTTATAA